TTCCTACAACTTGGTGAAGTGACAAGACTTTTGTCAGGCACTGTATATATGCTTATAGTCATTGGACTACAGCAAGCCAAAATGGACGAGCGGTTACTGAAAACAGATGGATAGGTGAATGGATACATATGAACACAGTGAATAGACTACTGCACTGGTCTCAAACTCCAGTCCTGGGGGGCCGGAGCCCTGCACATTTTTGGGTTTCCCCTCATTTAACACACCTGATTCAACAACTCGTGCTAATTACCACACAGTTCTTGAGCTGAATCATTTGTGGTGGAACAGGGAAGGAACTAAGCTACACTGGGCTCCGGCCCCCCAGGACTGGAGTTCGACACCCTTGGACTACTGCCTGCATGGACAATTGCGCCCTCTGGTGTTGAGGAAATTTCACAAAATCCAAGGGAATGTCACTTATAAGGGCCAAATAAAAGCAGCCTTTACAGCGCGTGGGTAAGGGAGAGGGAACTGACAGTATCACATCGATCACACAGTGCAACATTTTATGTCTGTTTTAGTCATTTCTCAGTCAGAGCCCGGCACACGGATTGCTGCCCGCGCACCATATGCAAACAGCCGTGCAAATGCGCGCACCTTGGTATAGAGCAGTGGTTTTCAACCTGTGGGCCGCGGCCCCCTAGTGGGCCGCGACGGTATTGCAGGGGGGCCGCCAATTATTATGAATAGAAATTGTAATATTGTTAATATAATAAAAAATGTCTAGTCAAAATCAAATAAATCATAATTTGATATATAATGAAATAAATTACCAGTTTATTCAATAAAGACAATTAACAGCCTTGCTTCCGAGTACTTAGTTAACCCGACACAAAAAGCGGGATCGTTTAAATTCTTTTGCAGTGGGCCGCGGAAACATATGTGTTTGGCTGTGTGGGCCGTGAGTTAAAAAAGGTTGGGAACCACTGGTATAGAGATATGGAAGCTTGCCCTGGATAAAAACAGCATTCGCGTCAGTGTTTGCGGAAGGTTTGAGAATCTTTGTTGGTTACCGATCGTCCGTTCTGTGTACATTTGCAATGTTTTTATTTATCCTCCTGAGATCCAAGGAAAAAAGTGTCCTTCACTTTTTTTTGTTTATTTTTATTGTATTCTACAATGTCTTCTCAGTGCTTCTTTTGTGTCCTTATCGCACGAAAATTCCCATGTGCCCGTACTGTCTGTGCGTGTACAAATGGCAAATCTTTTGAATTTTGAATATACATTTCTATGTTATTTTCCAGTTTTGTTTGACTAGTTTCTTAATGCACACATTTTCAATTTACACGTTTGCATTGCGGTGGCTTCAGCGTTCCTCGTTAACTGGACCGCCTGTAGGATCCGTCCCGACCGCGTCCGTATCCCTCTCTGGACGGCTGGTGCCGCTGCCCCCTAGTCTCGCCAACTTCGCCGATCTCGCGTTTTTTTTTTTTTTTTCAGGCGGCGCCTCGAGAGGCAGCGAAGGGGAATCGAGGGCGCCCTAAAGCGGGAAAGTTAGGACGATTCCATGGGCCCCTGAGTGACTTCGGAACATAATCCGATTGTTCTGGGTTGGGGGCCCCATATAAAATGCTTCCACGGAGCCCAAAATCTTTAGTGGCACCCCTGAAGGAAATAATATAGTAAAACTGTATTTTTCGGCGTTTTGTCTCGTTATGTTTTGTTTTTCATCTGAGTTGTAAGATGCGCATCAACTAGGAGTGAAATATTCTGCTCTATCTGTCAGAGAGGCCTCAGTTCGTCTGTTTCAGTAGCAGCATCTCCAGCACCATCAGGCTGAGAAGAGAAGCTTCTCAGTCCACTACTATTCACACTACTCACCCACAACTGCACTGTTATGCCCAGCTCCAACCACATTATCAAGTTCGCTGATGACACAACTGTGGTGAACCTCATCGGTCACTACGACGAGTCAGCGCACAGACGCGAAGTTGTTCAGCTGACTGTGTGGTGCAGTGAGAACGATCTGTCTCTGAATTTGGACAAGTCTAAAGAAATGAATGTCGACTTTCACGGTACAGACGGGTAAGAACACCAGGCTTCTGGGAGTGCACATCTGAGACAACTTCATCCGGACCACCAACACCTCCTCTTTCACTGAAATGACCTCCTGCATTGTACACGCCAGACAGTGTGAGAGCTTTTTCCCACAAGCCATCCTCAACACACTGTCTGCCCCCCCCCCCCCCCCACACCCCAAACTGTGAACTGAAGTTTACTTTGTACTGTTGCACTTTACACATCAGCCTTAAATGCTGTTGCATGCACAAAACACACAGTTACATGTACTTAAACAGTCTCAGTTACTGGTTTTTATACACTGTAAAAAAAGTTGACAACTTAAAATTTCAAGGCAACTTACTGCATTAGATTTTTGAGTTTTGAGGACAACTCAAGCTTCTAAGTTTTTAAGAAAACCACCTATTGTTATGCCGAGTAATTACTTTTCGTTCAGATAATTTATCTTTCATATCTATAAAAACTTCAAATGTTTAGTTGTACATACTAATTATTGCTAACAACAAAAGTTGTCCCAACCTATTGTCTTTTCTTTGAGCGGAAAACTGTAATTTCCGAGCATCCCGACGCAGCAGTACCCTGTGCGCGCTGCTTACTGACACGTCATTGGCTAAAAGCTCTGGCAGTGGCGCGCGTTCCGATACATGATCCAACCCGCAGTGTTGATAACAACAGGAGTTAAGCAGGTATTTATAGCATATTACACTGTATTATCTTCCTAATGAGAGGTGGTCACACACTTGCAGTACATAAAAAATAGCAGCATGAAAGCGTTGCGCACCGTCTGCTCCATGTCTCGTTCAAATTAGCCACGAGCCCTGCTCGTGCTGATATAGTTCAGCTTTTAGACAGCGTCCTTGTACGTATGTATCTTATAGTGCACATGCTGAATTAAAGTGTTGTTTTATTATTTTAGCAAAGCTAGTTCTTGCTTGAAGTCTGTGTGGTAAGTGTATATGTGGAGAACCAGTCATTAGTTTTCTGCTGCATGCATGTAAGCAGGCTATGCATGTCATATTAAAGCTTAGTTTGTATCAACTTCACTATACTGTAATGTGAGGGTTTAATTAGTTGCCTAGATTCATTAATTTAATTAATTACATTAAGCTTGGTCTTTATGATTGGTGTTTATGGTTTTGCAAATGTTTGTTGTGTTTATTCCACCACTGGGTGTTTTTCTTCAAAACTTAAAAGTTCTAGTCCTCAAAACTCATAAGTTCCCGTGAAATTTTAGGCCTTTTCTCTTTTACAGTGATTCAGTGATAGCTTGCTGAGTTGACCACCAGCACCGGCGCTGGAAGTTATGGAGAAGTGCAGTAAAAGAGATGCAGCGGAGCAAAAAGTCCAGCTGATTAAACTGTTTTAGATTTATCTAAGTTAAATATAAATAATGAATAATATAAAAATAATATAATCAATATAAAAAATAATTTAAATAATAGCCCCCCCCACCCCCCAAAAACAACTACCAAAACGACGTTTCCTCCATTGTTCTGGGGTGGCGGAGTAGTTTCGTATGAAATTATGTGTGAAGTTTAACCTACGAACGTTTTGCTCCCACGCTTTGCTCCATGTTTAGCATTAAGGTCCCGGTTACTCCACCACTATTACGAGCCGTCATTCCACATCTTCCTCAAATGTTTGGTACTGCAGAGAGATATCACATACATTTTAGCGGATTGGAAAATCCAGTTTTCCTTCACATAGCTATTAAAAGAAACACTCCAGTGAACTTCAAGAGACGCGATTCAGGTACGGATGCATTAAATGTGATTGGGGCACAGCAACAATTTCAATAACTATCCAGTTTATTGGACATTTAATATGATGTAATGTAATTGCACACGCACTCTCCACGCATTTCTACGCAAACAAGCTTTTTGTTCACGTGTAGCCTGTCTAGGCTATAGAGGGCGAGAGCCCATATTGGCCAAGTGTGACCGTTCAGCTGTTTTAGAGTGACACGTCCTTATTCAATTCAATCCAATTCAATTAAACTCAATAAAATTCAATTCAATTAAAAAAAAACTTTATTTGTCCCCAAGGGGCAATTAAGGCACACATAGCAGTTGAACAAGGACACAGTGACGTAAAGTGCAACAGTGATTACAGTGTTTAGAAGGTTTTGTGCAAAATTGCGGTCAATCGGGTAGATGGAAATATTAACACGTTTTTGAAACGTCCTTAAATTACGTTAGTTTACAGCTTCCTTTCCCATCTCTTAAAACCCACTGCTCTATATGGGCTAATGTTGACTGTGATCGCAGCCTTCAAAGGACCCTAACTCCTCTCCTGGGTGTTGTTGATGGACGTTTAAATCGGTCCACTGTGTTTATGTGCTTAGAGCTGCGCGATCTATTTGTTTTGCTCGCTTGCATCCCGTTGAGGAGGGACAGCCGTAAACGTGGCGATGCTGCATTAAGCGATTAATTCAACATAACGTGGCCTTTGCGGAGGCCAATGTCCCAAAATCCTCACTAACAAATACAGTTTCTGTTAGGGTTTGTTCACACTAGGGAAGTCAAAAAACGCAATTGCCTTGTACTGCGTTTTTCATAATTTTTTCCCCCGCATGAATTAAGTTTCTTTTATAAACTGTCCACGTTCTTACATGTGCGTCTAAATGCGTTTTTAATGTTGTGCTGTATTGGCCGTTTCTATGATTATAATTGATTGTCTCTAGTGTTTGTAGGGGAAAGGAGGGAGTCAAAAACGCATACAAACTTTGAATTGCCTTTGTATCCATTTTTCATTGCCCTCAATGGGAGTGCGCACTGCAGGGAAACGCAGCGCATTAGTAGGAACAACATACATGCTTTCTATGCAATATATGATTATTCCGAATATTTCAATCGTGTCAAATAAAACACAACAAGTTTTTAAATCGTTTGGCTTTATTGTTGAAATGTGGCGCTCGTTCAAGTATAATAATGTGATCAGTGAATACCACTCTTGCGACATACCTCTAGTTCATCGGGCAACATAGTCTCCCCGCGAGGTTCAACTGAGATACTCCGGTTTCGTTGTTATATACAACACGGTTAAGTGGCGTCTCTACGTTGCTCATACAGGTATCGTCAATCAAATGTGTTCGTGGCAAAATGTTTTGAATGGGAAAAAATATGTAGACTACGTTTAAAAATTACCAGGTACAATTGCATTTTGATCAAAATGTTCATCAGAATTAACCATGACATTGACCCATTTACCCATAATATACCTGTCAGAAAAAAGAGTACCAATTTGTACCTTTCCTTGTCACTAGGGCTGTACCCTCAAGGGTCTGCCAGTTGCACCATATAGCTGTAGGTAATTGTGTCTTATGCTGGAGTTTGAATCAAGGGCACCTTCTTCCCTATACTGTCCGAACGTGCTGATTTGTTTTCACAGTAGTTATATGCTATATATAACAATATTACGGTTATACATATCCATATTGTTTATACATTGTTATGCATGTCTATTAGTAATTCATCATCGTCATCATCATCATCATCATCATCGATTAGCTAAGGCTTTTCTACCCTTTTTTATTTTTATTAGGCATATGCAACGTGTAAGAAATATACGTAAATAACTCAAGGTGCCCTTATGAACTACACAAAATGCGACATACAAAAACAGTCATTTTACATGTTAAATGTACATTTTCCAGTAGAGTTTGCAAGCATGACACAACTTGTCAGCTACTGATATTAAGAAAAGATCATCTGTCGACGGATTTACCAAGATGTTTTCATTACACAGCCTCGCGCTCGCATGGCCGTGGGCTGATATCACGCCATAATCCAATTCATCTTCTGATGAACAATTTCAATAGTCACACGGGAAACCTCCGTCGTCATCAATTAAGTCAGACAGTCTGGTTTTTCTGTTAAAATCAACCCACACCATTCTTGTCTATTTTTTGTTCTTCAACATTTTCTGATGCTTGTTTTTGGTCTTTCTTACTTCGTTTCCACTTCATGCGCCTGTTCTGAAACCATATTTTGATCTGCAAAGAGAAATTCCTCATATATATATCCCAAAATAAATAAATTCTACCTAAGATCTGTTCGTGGTGTAACCAGATCATAGACGTGTAGCGAATTTATTTTGTCTAATCAAAGACCTAACCAGAATATAGGCCTACATATTTTAAGGAGACAATTAATGTATACGGATTAATAGGTCTATTATGTTTAAATAAATCATCTCGAAATCTCTCCGTTTTAAGAATCCCTTAAACGTTTGTTTTCTATGTAACGTGAAATGTATCTATAATTTTAAAAATATCCAGATTGTATTACTGTATTTGATTATTGCAACGATGGTTCCTTCTTATTTGGAAAAGCAAGATGTAATACCTTTAACTTTGTCCTTATTCTAAGAAAGATGACAAAAACATCATTTCCCTCTCTGATTTTCACTGCGTCCTCCATTAAAATTATATGCCTATATAAATAAATCAAATTATTAAAAAGTCGCCTAGATAAAAACGTAGTTCCTTAATCGAACACCATTCGGCCAAGTGTTTTTTTAGAGATCCGTTTGGATGGGCACAATGACCGATCGAACGTAACTGATTTTGCTGATATATATTTACCTGTGTTTCTGTAAGCATCAATGACGTGGCCAGTTCAACTCGTTTCGGTCTGGAGAGATATTGATTAAATCGGAAGTGATTTTCGAGCTCCAACAGCTGCTCTCTCGTGAACGCCGTTCTTGGTCTTCGGCATTTCCCAAGTAAATGAGGTTGTGTCTGATCTGGAAAAGAAGTATGGGGTCATCCTATTTTCCCATCCTGAATAGCTTTGAAATTTCAACGTAAAAACAGCCGTGGTTGTAAAACTATTAAGCCTCCTCTTTTTCTTTTTTTTTAACAAAAACAGATTTAAAAACTATATATGACATGATGTGTTAACCCTGTTCATTTAAATCTAAAAAAGAAATTATGCGAGTCTCACATTGATACTCAGTGTGGGGTAAGAAAGTATAGGGGAATTGTCATTTTTAGTTCTAAAAACCTTCAATCAACCAATTATTACATCACTAATTTGTATTGTTTTGAGTGTGAACCTTAAAAATTTCACTTTGTGCACAGTTTTTCACATCATCGTCAGTGAGTCGAATAACATTTCCATATAATCGAGTCGGGTGAAAAGTAAATTTCCCCACCTATATGTCTTTGAAAACATCAGTCAAAATGTGTAAAGTAACAAAAAGCCATTGTCTTGTACGCAGTTTACGATGCTTAATGTTCACACCTCACTGCCACTTTCAAAGTGTCCATTATCTGTCCCTTGAGCTTCTCTTCCTCTCGTTGAACAACAGTCACCTCTCTTTTTTCTTGGTAAACAGGTATAGTGGAGTCCAAATTATAAAAGC